TGGCAGGGGGCTGTAGCCAAAATGAGTTTGTCTTTTAAGCTCTTCATCCATTCATCCAAATTAGGCCTTAACATGCTTGAATTGCATGAATTATGCTCTCTTGCTCTATTTGCCTACAAAACACACAAAGGGAGGCAAATAACTTAGAAATCTAAGAAACTAAGCAAAAGAAGTAAGTAAATAGGGCATGTATATGTATGAAATTATGAGCTTAACAGTGCTCACTAGTAATATGAGGCAAAATCCCATTCAAAACTATTTGGCCTTGGGGATTCCATTGCTAATATTTGAAACACTGCTTCATTTGCCTCCACCCTAGTCACAGGCTTTACAAGCCTCTCATTATGTTCCAAAGTCACTTTTAGAGTCCCATACTTTAAGATTATTTATTCCACCTCAGTGCTAAGAGCTTGACATGCTCTCATTTCCATGCAATACCTTATTTCCATCCTATAAACTACACAACATATTAAAACGTCATCATTTCACTGTTTTAGAGTGAAAGAACTTTGTGTTCTTATCCATGTCCCACAACCATTGAAGTCAAGATTTTGTTTTCCAAAATAACTTTTCCTCACTGAAAAAATCCTTAAGTCGACCCTTTAATGTCATGACTATTTGGCGATCCCATTTTATTTTATTACCAACTAACATGGGATGACAAAACACTTCCCAAACTACATGAGAAACCAAGTTGTTAGGATACAATCATTTCCGTGAATCAGTAGTAAGCACTATGTCCAACCACTCATGAAAAACTCCACCCTCACGGCTATTTTTCCAAGTATATGGGTACGCCATGAAACTGAGATCAACGAAACCCCGAAATTTTCTTGCTGCTAGTCTATGAGCAACTCCACCCACCTTCTCAGTGGAGAGTTTAGGAGGGGGAGTCTATCCTTGGTAAAAGTTGTTATGTTGATTTCTGCAGGTAGGGCACTGTGTCCTGGCTTATTACATATTTGGAAAATGAGTTGGAGAAAGTGTTTAACTTGAAGGAGGAACTGTTGGTCTTGTAGTGTTGTTTGAAAAATCTTAATTGAGTTATAGGGTTTTTGGATATGTTAAAAGAGAATCTTGCTTGGCTGGAGCAACAAAAGGGTCGAGTTTGATAAGGTTTTATGGAAAGAGAGGCTTGGAAGGCATGATTGGTGGGTTCAGAGAAGGAGTTGAGTATGGAGTCGTCATTTCTTCACTTAAGATAAGACTGTGAAGCTCCTTAGATGTCAGGTTCAGACCTTACTCTAATGGAGGTAGCAAATGCATCATAATTTGAAGGGACACAATCAAGCGGGTGAGGAACAAAGTCTATATCATTCAAGGCCTGCAATAGCTAAGCTATAAGTTGTGCCTTTGACAAGTTGAAGATACTCGAACATGGTCAAGGGCACACGACGCTTCCATGAGTTGGATCGAGAATAGAGATTCTGATCACGCTCTAATGAATCATATGAGCCTATAGATCACACTAGGGGATTGACATGAATTACGTGCCTTAATAGTATGATCGAGAGCATTGAGTCAAAGAAAGACCATATCACACGACAATTCCAATTGAATAGATTCTTAACCCCATTTTATATTGGCTTAGGTAGCCGTGACATGTTGCTAGAAGTCACTCACGGTTTGTGGAAACCCTAAGGACACACTATAACCTAGTCCTCATAAAGGGAGAATTAAAAGGAGTTTTAATTCACAATCGATCAATGAGAGTTTTGGATCGCCCGCTATCTTGCTGATTAGAACCTAATGGATTGCAACTGATAAGGTTGGATGAAAGAAAATATGTATGATGTGCATAGACTTCCCAATTTAATAGAAATAAAAAAAATAAGAGAATGTGAGAAAATGGTAGTTTGGGCCTAAACAATAAAATCGGGTTCATGGCTGTTGCGTCGATTCAGCTGCACCAAAATGGATTCAGCTACATCCTCAACTTGTGATACTCGCAAGTGCACGAGCCGTTCGGTAGTATAGCATATGTAAGTGCGAGGTCGATTCCACAGGGATTGGTGATTGAATAATCCAATTCAGTTTTCCTACACAAAACAGAAAAACAAGAATGAAAATAAATAAAACAAGAAAGAAAGAAAAGAAAATAACTCAAGTAGATAAGTTCCCAAGTTCAATTAGATTAACGGATTGATTCTAGCTAAAGTATGATTAAGCCATGGTGTTTGGTCATAACCTTGTGTTCCTAATTCCCAAATTTGATCATTTCTTGTCTAACCTAAAATTAAGCATTAGGAACCCATTAAGCATAGAAGAACATTTTAAACAACCAAATATGTATCTAATCCCTGTTGTCGAACACTACAAAAAAAGTCAACAATTGTTACCTTTTTATTGGTGACTGTTGGCATCATTAGACACCTTTTTTGGTGAGTAAAAGCAATAGTAACGGTGCAGTTACAATTTTGGGCTTCATTACATATGAAGCTGTTACTAAAGGCTATTGTCACCATTATAATAACATTCGTGACATTGTGGAAATTGACTCTTAACAGCATGTGGGGCCATTATCTATCCAATCAACTTCAGTTTATAATATTTTATTACTTATTTGACTATCCAATCAACTTCATATTACGTATTTGATTGTTAATAGCATTTAAATACAGTAGGGCCCATCAAATTCAACAAATTGACAATACATGTGTATTAGAATTATTAAAAAGAATTACAATTTCTATTTGTACATTTCTTACTTTTCATTTTCCAATAATTAATTAATAAAAATATTGTTTTTATTGATGTCTGGTGTTTATTGTAATTTCATTAAAATTCAATAAACAATTTAATAAAGATATTGACTTTCATTGCAATTTCTTCCAGTACAGTAAACATTTCATAAACATATTACCTTTCATTTCATAATTTTCATTACAATTTACACATATGGAGGATTAAACCTCCCAAAATATTAAGTCACTAGTAACTAAATATACAATCATTTGGGATCTACTTTCAAAACAACTAATTTCATCCCACTTGAACTTGGTCTTCAAAAAGGAAATGGCATACCCTAGTACCAACGAAGCAGTTATGATCAAAATACCAAACTAACATGTATTTTGGTATTATGAAGTTCATAATACCAAAACACATATATATTGATAAGCATGGTGTGAACAAAAAGCATAATGGTACTCCATGGTCTACATACCATAAACTCTAACAATATTTTTCAAACTTTGAACACATGGCCTACATTCCTTGCATGCTCCTCCTCTTCTATCCCCCTTATTATTGGTCTATAACCATCTTGATCAATTAATGTTTGGCTTGGCATGTAAGGTGAATGTAAGGTTGCAGTCATAATTTCTTCCAATCTATTAGAACCAAGTGCTACTTGCAGAGTGCTTGATGAAACATGTCCCAGTAGCAATTCAGAATCAATGTTAGAAACATTGCTTGCACTAGCTAAAACCTTTTCCATGATGGCTTGTTGTTTCGTTAAAAGTTGCTCCAAACGTTTCACTTTTTCCGTTGTGGCTCTCCCCTCCTCTCTCATTTCCCTTTTAATTCTCTCCTCCCTTTCATTTGCATCCTTTGTAACCTGCACTATTCTTTCTTCGTAAGACTCACGCATATCATCAAACTCCAGCCTCAAACCTCTTTTTTCTCTCAACACACCCAAAACATCCTCAATTCTCAACCCTATGCCATATCCTCTCACCCGATTACCCTTCTCTCTTCCAAGCACTTCAGCATATACAATATTGATTTCCTCTGTTGTTACTTCATCTGGTAGTTGGTTTTGCTTCTTTTTATTCCTAATATCAATGATCTTTGAATTCATTGATTCCTGCATGAAGTAATCACAAAAAATATATATATTTGTTAACTGTGCATTCTACTACATGGATGCCTCTATAACAAACAACACAAGATAACAGATCCTAAAATACAATCAAATTCAGCCTCACCATAGCTTTTGCAGCTGTCTCATTCACAGGTGTTCCATTCTTTCTTAGGTGGCACAGTTCAAACATTTTGCATCTGTCAGGGGAGACACCCCTGTGATTCACCTTCTAAAATCCACCAGGCAGTTCACATATCAAATATCATTTTAAATCACTGCTAGTTCTATAGTCGTAGAGAAATTTTCAAGGTAAAGCTAATGACAATAATTTATTTTGTGGAAGGTGGGTATTGACATGCTTGTAGTGTGGATAAAGGTTGCTATAATCTCTTCTTCAACATTAGCATGTGGCATGCAATGTTTTTGTAATGATCATAGGATCTACTCATTAGGTTTGATGCAATTTTAATACTGATGTCGGTTGTGTGTTCATGGCCCATTAATTAAAAAATTGAAAGTACATACCAGCTGTTCTATGTTTTTATCATTTATATACGATCAAAAAATTATGAGAACTTACATAAGCAGACTTGCAATATGATAACATGCTCCACATTAATTGACTACAAAAACTATAACACTTACATATTGGTTCCTCACTTGGGCATATGATTTTGTCCCTGTTGTGTGGTGCATCCTGCACTTCGCACGATTACATTTATTTGTGATTGATCGTTTCTGTATGAATATTTTATACAGCGTCAAACAATTGACCATTTGAAAAAACAAAAAGCAAAGACATATTTCATGTTTTACCTGCGCTGGACCAGTCTCCCAATATTTCACCAATAACCTCCACTGTTCTTTGCTAACCCTGTCATCATTGCAATTCCATCGCTCCTCTGAATTCAAAAAAGGATCATACCAATTCTTTTTTAGATTGGCCTTGTGTTTCTTCCAAAGATGATTGAGTTTCTGCTCAGCCACGGCCCATATTTTGGGTGCCTTCTTTTTAGTTTCCGGATCAGACCAATCAATTGTCCTCTGCATTCATATTCAACTATATACATTAACATTTTAGTGGTTTGACATGTATAAGTTAATCAGAGTAGTCAACTGAAACACGAAGACCAAAAGCGCTGACAAATCACTTAAAGTACAAGAAACCTTTTAACTTCCATTGAAAAGTTACATTCCTGACAAATAATTGGTTATTATACTTTTGCATCACCTGTTACTTCCTGCTGGTTTTAACCTCATTAATGCACAAAAATGTATTGCTGCTATGTGATGTAAGCCCTATATGCATGGTGATGAGCCTTACATAAAGAGAACATATGACCAGATTATCAAAAGAAGTAAAGAAGAAACATACTAATCTGAAATGGAATACCAGATTCATAAAAGCATCGACTAAAGGGCAATCCACTATAACCTAGTGGGTTACCACAACCCTATAAGTTACATATCATGATTGGTAGAGCTCAAGATAATTGAGGTTATTGAGTTCTATTCATCTGTAGAATGTATACAAGATGCCTATGAGAATAGATTATAAGAATGAGTCATATACAAGATATGAAGCAGTGGCAGATCCATACAAGATATAAGAATGAACCATATACAAGATATGAATTAAATATAGATGAACATGTCGTGGATTATAACGAGCAAGGCAGCAGAAGCTGGACGCTGCTTTGATTCCCTTTAGTCAGGCCTTTCCACAAACAAGTGGTGGCCGTTCTTGCCCAACCACTCAACCAATCAATGGGTCAAGTTACCAACTTAAATGTTGTTTTCCATCGTCCCAGGGGTCAACGTGGCCCCTGATAAAAAGCCTTTACATATTAACACATGTGATACAAACAGATAATACCAGTAGAATATTGTGTAGATAAAATTATTTATAAACAAAACCAACTCACAAAATACTTTATACCTTGATTCGTTTCCATGCATTGCCTAGTGTTGTTCCACGTTCAAAACGTCGCCAATCTTGTACATCAATTGGAAACAAACCTTGGTCCACAGCCATGAGCCCTAGAAACCTTTGCCATCT